TGGTTAGTTCGGTGGGGCCCTATAAATCACCCGGAGGGCTTTTTGGGTTCCACACGCTATTCGGAATCGACAATGTGGGCGAGAATTGCGCTGTTTATGCTCCTGACTTTACCTTTTATCAGCCATGCGGGGAGGTGTTCCCGTGTTCTTTTGGATAAAAGCTGACTTGTGCGACCGATATAACTTGCTCCACAGGAGCGAGCAAATTAGAAGATGCACATGGAAGTGGTCTAAGCTGGCAGCCTATCCTTAGATTCCCCGTGCAAAACCGGGTTGGTTGAGAATAGTAGCCAAACTCTCGCTGCTGGGAAGGTTAGTGACGTCTTGGTCAAGGCGTCTTCTAAGAAGTTAACTTATCGCATCCCCTTTAACTTGGCCTTTCTACAATGGTTATAGTAGGTTTTATTTTTCCTGTCACCATACTCTTTGTGATGAATCTCTCGGGATATCGATTCTCACGAAGTAGGTCCTAGATTTTCCTAAATTCATCCTCAATATTGTCTGTCGAGCAAATTTTTATAGCCCTTTGCGCTAAGCAGCGGACTAGATTTCGCTGCCATCGGAGGGGTACTAAATTGTTAAAGATCCTATATTGTATAAACCGAGTTTCCTTTCGATAAACGCTCCTTCGGACGCTACCACCATGTCTACGACTTAAGAGGCCATTAAAGAGAAGAAGCGAAACTGCCGTCTCCATCTCTAACGTGATCTTAGTGGACGAATGCGCTTGGTTGACAAACATTAAGAGTGATTCTACATCGATTTCGACGATCGCAAAGGCGTCATCAACTTAGAGACCATAGTGTTTTAGGTTATTGATCTGATCGCCAGTTGACATTTTTCCAGCTTGCTCATGAAAATAGTAGCTAAGGGAGGACTAACAGGCAAGCCCAATAGCAACACCATCGATTTTTCTATATAGCTGGTTTTCAAAAAGGAACTGCTCATTTAAGGGGCATTTTAGTAATAATTTCTTCAGTGCATTCATTGGTATTCCTATTTAGATTTGCTTTTCCGATAAGAATTCGCATATGTAATCAACTATCTCTATGATTGGGACATTCGCAAATGGCGATGATACGTCAAGAGAGAACATAGTCATGCCGTTTAAGTTCGTGTCTTTGACGTCGTCAAGAAAATCGAACGTATATTGAAAGCTATGCAGTGCCAGCTGATGCTTTAAGGCTTCGAGTTTCTCTGTTAACCACTCCACTATCGCATGGTACGAAAAGTTGCGAATGACCAAAATGGGACGAATTAGCAGACCATCCTTGTGGATCTTCGGTAGACCATGCAAACGATGGAGATGAGTGCCTACTGGTCGGAGTCGTTCGAGATCATGGTCGCTTATGCGAACCCCGTCCTGAGTCTTCTTGCGCACTCGGTCAGCTATACCTCTATTCCAATGTTACAATCTTTTCCTTTGTCTTAATTTTTAAAGCAACTCCAAGTATAACCTGAAACAATCCATGCCTGACAGGTCCAGCAGATCATGGCAAGGGAGATCTCTATACTGCCCCTTACCACCTAAAATGCAGACCCAATTCCAGTCCGTCCCATTTTGGCTGCACTGTGTCATCACGCCTAGGCCTGACTGGTAACTTGGAACTCCATTGCGCAAAGCCTGATTAAGCCTCTCCAAGTACCCCAGCATGAACTTGCCCCCTGCCTTATTCACTCATACTGGCCCAGAACATTCCTGCATCGAGTGAGCACATATAAAACTTCATGAAGACCTTCAGTCTGGCATTGCAGTCCAGGCACTTACATGCACATCCCTCGGCTGTCTGCCGTAAGAGGTACTATTGTGCCACCTCAATAAAACCATGGCTCTCTCTCTCTCGTGCCGCATGCATGTGATTGGTTTTGTCATCGTCAAATGTCTATCTTGCGTCCAGTATATGTGCTATTTCGACAGATGTTAATCTACATCCTGAGGTGTGCTTTCGAGTTCAAAATATTACTTAATTAGAGTTTCAATATGCAACATAGAGCAAGATAATCCCAACAAATTTCCGTTAGCCAAGGATACCGACTCTAAGTGAAGTTCTGTTCGGTCGCCTGTCAGTTCACGCACGCCA